TATTATATTATATTATATTATATTATATTATATTATATTATATAAAACTGTAATATACATATTACAGTTTTTAAAGATGGAAGTTGAAGTTCAAGATGCTAGCAAGATTGCTTCCTTCTTGAGATCTCTTTCCTTGGATTGTAGACAGCTGTTTACAGTGCCCTCACATGATCACCCTCTGTGTATGACTGTGTCTTAGTTGTACTTTGTAATAAGGATCCCAGTTACACTGCACTAGTGCCCACCCCAAAGATCTTGCTTTACTTTAGTTCCCTCATTAAAGACCTTGTCTCCAATACAGTCACAGTCTTAAATACTGAGGTGAGGGCTATGATGTCAAGGACTGAAGGGACACAACTGAGACTACAATCTAACTAGTGTGTAGAGGGTGAAGAATTTGCAGAGAAAACTTGAGTATTTTGTGGAGTAAAGATCAGGGCTTTCACTTGAAGATTAAGTGAGGCTCAGAAAGAAAGATTCACAGAGGAGTTAGATTTTGATGAATGCATGTCAGGAAAATAATGTGTCTACAAATAGTTATAGGAAGGAATGCAAGAAGGGGTAAGGGAAAGAAATATTAGGAAGACGAGGTGATAGGATTGGTGAAATTGAGGGACAAAGACAGGGTGGTCAAGGCTTGCAGAAGGAGGAAGCAAGTTAAACCTCTGATCTACAAGGACTTAGCAAACATCTGTTGTGGATGAGCTTCTATACTGGATGTCAGTGATGTAGAAAGCTACATAGTCCCTAGTTCCAAGAGGGAGGAGGCACCCAATGTACAGAATGCAAGCAAGAGTTACTGTGTCTTAAGCTCACTTATACGTACCAGGCCTGCTTTAACTGATCACTGACTTTCTGAACAACTCTTTGAAGCAGGCATGGTTAGCCTCATTCCTACTTGGCAGATAAGCAAACTGAGGTTCAGAGATGCCAAGTTACTTGCTAATGATCACAGAGTAATATGTGGTCCTGTCTAGAGGTGGAGCAGGGCCCTGCTCTTCAGGTCGCACTTGCCTCTTTCCTCTCCCTTGGCATGCACAGAGGTCTCATGCTTCTAGTCCCTATAGACAATGTTGAGAATGCAATGGTCAGTGTGGGAGGGTATGGAAAGCCTTGCAAGGATTTCATTGGTACTGTGTGGGCAGAATGAACAAAGTACACTGACCGATGGTGGGAGGAAAGATATTTTGAGTGAAGAAGGAATTAGAAGTAGGCTGTTGCTGGAGCAAGAAGCTCAAGTGGAGGTGCTAGGTGGACAGTAGATGTCACATACTCTTTTTGTGCACATAGGTATACTCAACTCTATCACCTTCTTTGGGGTTGTGTACCCAAGGGCGTGTGTTGAAATGAGACCAGGAGCAGGCTGATGGTCTGAGAAACTAAGGTTAGCTTTGAAACTGCATTAATCATTTTCCCCACTGACCATGACTCCATCCAGCAAGAACATCTACCCACAATTGTTTGTACTAGCCAAAGGCATTCTCATCCCAGGGCATCTTATTTTTCTTTGTGCAACCTGCCTATGGGCATGGCTGTCCTGACCTTCCAAAAGTTACAGAGGCTCTGCCATGGGCAAGGAAGCCTCAGGAATCTTGAGGGAAAAAAGAGGGAGGACTCTGAGTCCAGGGACAAGTGAGGAACAGTGGTGGTGGTTCAGAAACCCTGGAATCTGGGGCATCAGAGGCGGGTGGGACCATTTTTCCATCCCTTGTCTCATAATCTTGGGCTCATTCTGGCTCATTCCTAAGAAATTTAGTGCCTGGGGGAGGATGACAAACCTAGGTGCAGGGCTGTGACAGAAAGAGTTCTTTCTGTTAACCCAGTAAGGCACACTGGGCCTTGGTGCCTAGGCTTTCCAAGACCCATGCTTCTATCTGTGGTTCAACGTAAATTCCTAGAATAACGCTTTTCGCTTTTCTGTTACCAGAGCTTTCTCCATCCAGGCTGAACTTCCCACAGTACAAACTGAGGTGTGCTCTGCCCCAAACCCTCTCAGGCCCACAAGCTTGAGTCTCCTTTTCCTTCCTTTCCTTTCCCGGGTTCGTTTTCCCTCCTTCTAGCAGTGGCAGATCTATGAGGAAAGCAGGATTCTCCCCATTTCTCGGATTTCACAAGAGAAAACCCTGCATTCCTAGTCAGGGTAGGGCATGTAAGTGAGGAAACCAAGGTCACTCATTTATTGGCAGAAGGAGTGGAGAGGGACCTGAACTCGGCCTGTTCTCTGCCGACGTAGGAGCCTCACTAGGCGGCCTCGGCCTATGGTTACATGCCCCTCTCTTATCCACAGGTATCCTGGCCAGATTGGCTGGAATGACAGGTGAGCCTGGGTGTGGCCCTAGAGGCAACTCGACTGTGCGACTTCCGACTCTGAGATGCCTGGAGAAAGGGCCTTGAGCGAGGCAGCTACTGTGCTGACCCTGCATCACCACTGGGCTAGACAAGTGTCCTAGGGTCCCTAGGGAGTCCCAGGCCCGCCGGTCAGGCCCCGCCCCCCAGCTGCACGGGGCGGCGCCGGTGGAGTTGGGCGCGGGCGCGCGGTGCTTGGTGCGCGCCACCGCCCCTCGGCCTAGCTTGCTGGCCTTCCCCACCTAAGCCCTTGGCCGGTTCAGCTGGCCCCACCCCTTCTTCCTCTACTGGCCGGGAGGTCTGGTGCGCGGTGCATCGCGAAGATCGCGGCCTGGCTATCCGGGCAAGGCGGTTTTGGCGCTTGAGGGTGGCACGCCAGGCACGGGGCGCGAGGCAGAGCTGGCGCGGCAGGGTGCTGGGGGAGGGTTCGGCGGAGCCTCCAGAAGAGAGCAGGGCCAGGCGGGGGGTGCCGAGGTAATGGGCAAGGCCTCTGAGCCTGGTTGCGAGGGGTGGGGCTCCAGGCGCTCTTTGGCCCTGGCCTGGCGGGCTCTGGGGATCCAGGGGCGGCGGGAGGGAAGCGGGACAGGGAGGGACTAGGACTAAGGGAGGAGACTGCTGAGATGGGCCGGGGGCTTGGCTGACCGGGAGCAGGTGGGCGGGGACAGGGGCCCTGCTTGAAGAGGCTCAGGAAAGAGGTGGCGGGCTGAGTGCGCAAACAGGGCGGCTGCCTCCTGGGCCCGGAGAACGGTGAGGCCATTTGGTTGGATGCCACTGATCTGGGAACCTGGCACTGATGGGGAGGGAAGATTAGGACTTTAGGCAGGCCAAGGTGTTTGGAGTCCTGAGTAGACCCCGGGAAAAGAGTGTTGCTGGGCCAGAAGCGGGAGTTCTTCATCAGGGCGCTGGTGTACAGCGAAGGTGGGCAAAGCCAGGCACTTTCAGGACCGGCATGAGTGGAAGGGGACAAGAGACCCTAGAGTTTGAGTTTGAACACAAACTGGGAGTTGCCATGTCACTGGGTGGATCGATGAATCACAAGATTTGGAAAGCGCAGAACCCTTTCCTGGCGAGCAGATCTGAGTGATGAAAATCACAGGGGCTTAGGATTTGGGGAAGTGATTTTGGAGGCCAGGTCTAGGGGCACCAGGTGCTCAAGTGGGCTACCGGTCTCTGTGGGAGGTACTTTGGGAGTTTTGACCCAGGGAGCTGGGATTCAGAGGCCTCAGTCTGGAGTGGGGTTAAGGAAGGTCTTTGTAGTGGCAAATTCCCTACCTTCCTTCCTTCCTTTCTAGAATGTCAGGATTCAACTGTGTTCCTGTGGGGAGTGGGTTAAAAATTCTTTCCAGCCTACAGTAATCAGTACAGTATCCACCAGGGGCTGGAGGGACATATACATGCGTGACTGCAGCTGCGTTTTTCTGTCGTGGATCCTTCATGCTTCCTCACTGTTGCCATAGTAACTGCCTATTGATGGTGTATTTATAGGGGAAGAAGCAGGAGATACATTTTGGGGGAGTGGGGAGAAGCCCTCATAGCAGCAGCAGCAGCAGCAGTGATTGATGGTGGCTACAGAATTGCTAATGGGGTGGGGGATGCCATGTGAACTGTCTGGGGAAGATCCTGGCTTCTTTGAGTCTCAGAAATGAACTAATGGTTTTTCCAGGCCAGGAAAACACAAACAAGGAGCTATGATGCATGTATGTATGACTGCATGGAAGTCCATGTGTTTGATTGGGACCAAAATGGCTGTATATAAAGCTATTATGTAATTTTTCCACGTAAATTTTTTTGAAAACTCCGTCGTTCACTTCAGTATGCAATGGATGTGTTTGCTTTCTTATTATGTGAAAGCTTTGCTCACTCATTTCAAACTCTGATATGACAGATTTTTTTTTAAACAAAACACCCATATCATATGGAACCCATAGATCATAATGAGGCCAAGTTTTGCAATACTAACTTTTTTCTCATTGTGAAAATTGAGGTATTTTAGTGAAACCTGTTGGTAGTTTTTCATGAGTTCTAAAGAGAAAGCCCCTTGATACAGTGATGGCTGTTGGTTGGTCACTTTCCCCGTCATTTAAAATGTATTCATGATTTTTATCCTTCTTGTTTTCCAAACAGACTAGTAGCCAGATTTTAAACACACAATAGGAATATGGCTCTGGAAGAATAAATAGAATACCGTACCAAGTTGTGGTGAGAAAAGCATATGTGAGTAACAGCTGGGCTTCTGGAGCACTTGTATTTGGCCATCAGTGTTAATACTGAACTTCCTGGCAGCCTAGGCAAAAAGAGTAGCATAATGGGTTACAAAGCTCATGTGTCTTACATCCCATTAGTCATAAAACATGAGCTTCTGTTTGGGGAGGGGAGCTGAGGGGTGATTGCTCCCAGATGTTGATGGCTTAGACAGTGCTTCAGAATATGTGTATGAGTAGGACTGTGTTATCAGAAAAAAGGCGGGCTTTATGGCAATAGAGGCCTAAGTTACCTTTGTTGATTTATTGTAATTTATTTACTTGTTTGTGTGTTGTGGTCCTGAAGAACAAACCTAGAGTCTTAGACATGCCTGGTACGTGCGGTGATGAAGAAGCTACATCTATACTCCAGACCTGTGTATTTGTGCTCATCTTTTATGTATGGTGTTTACAAGGTTTCTCTGTTGTAGTAGTAGTTAATGCAAAGAGAAAAGATGTACTTCAAAGAAGTTCAAACATCTTGTCTCTCTTTCTGAGCAAGATGCCATGAGCATATTGTCTGAGTCTGGGCCCAGGAGATTGGACCAGAGGGGTAAGAATATGTCTGTGTTGTACATGGTGGGTCTGACTCTGTACAACAGATATCCACAGAAGATTATTATAAGTCAGCCTCAGCTAGATTAGGATATTGGAGGTGTGTGTTGTTGCTGCATTGAGTTTGGTATTCAAGGAACACATTCATCTTTAGAGGTATCTGAGAATCACTTCACCATCAGTTTCAATTCTAGGTCTTGTTTCTGTCTCTCTCAATTTGCTTAACCTTGACTCTACTCAAGCCCATATCCGGGATTGATTTCACATCTGTCTGTGTTTGTTTTTCCATTTTGAGTGGACAAGGATTCATTGGAGAGACAGGGAGTGTTAGTTCTAAGATGCTTTCTCTTGAAACTGACCAGACTCTGTGTGTATGTGTGTGTGAACAGGCACTTTTGGGATTTGGGGAGCTCTTGAGGTTTTGGGGGAAGTGACTGTATGAGGGTGTTGTGCCTCATGGAATATTGCTTTAACCTTTTAGCCAGGTTGGGGGAGGTCACATCCTAAACTCCAGTAGGTTTCACCACAGCTTTTTTTCCCTTGCCAGGCAAGTGATCCTCTGGAGCTGAGGGAGCATCATGGCTGGTGAGTGAGTATTATTGGAACCATGAGAGTTGGGCAGGCTCATGCAAAAGCAACACATGTGTCTTTTCAGCTTTTCTTTCTTTGGATGGCTCTGGGGTACACTAATGAAACAGTTCATGGATATTGGGAAAGAGGGCCCACAGGCCAGACCTATGAGCCTGGGCATAGAGGGGCATCACTTTCTGTGGGGAGTAAACAGTCTTACCATTGGGTGATTGTTTTCATTCTCCAAAGCCCAGATCATGACTGATTTTAGTCCTATTAGTGGTAGCCTGGAAAAGGAACCAAAGTTCTGGCTTTCCTTTTTCAAGAGAGATGCAGAAGCTACTGGAAGTTTTCTACCCAAGACTACAATACATAGAGTTCTTCCTGGTCCTTCGTGTGCCATCTGACATTCCTTCTCAGTTGGGTCTAGTTTTCCTTTGTATAGTGAAGGACCTGGACCATGTCAGGACCCTGAGGATTTGCTGGAGAACACAGCATCATAGAAAGTCAACCCTCCTGTTCCCATTGCAATAGGCCACACCTGGCTTTTGGTTGGAGTCCTGGCTTTAGGCTTGCTGGATTTGCCCCATTTCCCCTCATAATTGGGCCAGTCTGGTGTGTAGGGACTGACTTGCCTCACTGTAGTTCTCTCTTCAGTGTTTCTGGAAGCCAAGAATGCCCATGCAGTCCTGAAACGGTTCCCTCGTGCCAATGAGTTCCTGGAGGAGCTACGTCAGGGCACCATCGAGCGGGAGTGCATGGAAGAGATTTGCAGCTATGAAGAGGTCAAGGAAGTATTTGAGAACAAAGAGAAGACAGTACGTACTGCCCTGGGGCTGGACTCTGGGTGGGGATGCAATCTTGGGAATAATAAGAACAGGTCTGAAACAAGGGAAGAATACCACCACAGCCTACATCCTGCTTGTTGGAACTCCAAAGGAGCACTGGGGTGTCCCTCTAGGTCTTTTGAGGCTGTTGCATGATTTATGTGGACTTCCTCACTTGGGAGCTTTGTCTTTCTTCCTTGGTGGATTTCCTGAGCTCTCTGAGGGCTCTGTCTAGCCAGTAGGATGCCTCAGGGTGGAGAAGGAGTCACAGGCCTATCTTTGGTACATACTTGTCTAAAGCATGGATGTTAGGTGAGCATCACCTTGTGTCTGTCTTCCTCAGGAGTGAGTGGCCCTTCTTCTTTTGCAGATGGAGTTTTGGAAGGGATACCCAAATGCAGTCTACTCAGTCCGAGACCCTTCCCAGAGCTCAGACGCCATGTATGTGGTGGTGCCCCTTCTGGGGGTAGTCTTGCTGATTGTCATTGCCTTGTTTATCATCTGGAGGTGCCAACTGCAGAAAGCAACTCGTCACCACCCCTCCTATGCTCAGAACCGGTACCTAGCTAGTCGCGCCGGACACAACCTCCCCCGAGTCATGGTGTATAGGGGTACTGTGCATAGCCAGGGAGAGTCCTCTGGGCACCGTGACACAGGGAATAACCCACAGATTGTCCTGGGGCCCAGCCGGGGAGGTAGAACCACTGTCCGGTTGGAGAGTACCCTCTACCTCCCTGAGCTCTCTCTCTCCAGACTGTCCAGTGCTACCCCTCCCCCCTCTTATGAAGAGGTGACTGCACCCCAGGAGGGCAGCAGTGAGGAGGCCAGTGTCTCTTACAGTGACCCTCCCCCAAAGTATGAAGAGATTGTGGCAGCCAGCCCCAGTGCAGAAAAGTAGCTGAGCACAGGCCCCGGCCTGTAAAAAAGCCTCTGCCAGAGGTAACCTGCTTTCTTTTGGACTTCTGAAAGACTGTGCCACCACAAAACAGCCTTAGCCTCCTTGTTGCCAAATAATTCCCTAACCGTGTAGGAAGTCATTTGGAAGAGACAGTTGGTATGTGTGCTCTTAAGTGCCAGGGGTTGGGGGATGGGAGAACAGGGGCACAAAGGACAAGTGCATGATCCCCCTGGGAGGAGCTACAGACTTGAGAGCCCAAGTCTTCCAGATCCCCCGCTGCCATAACCAAGTCCCCACTATCCAGCCCCTCATTAGGAACTGGCTTCTTTTAAGCAAAAGGAACCATCCCATGGTGTTGATTGTGGCTAGAATGACCACAGGCTCGTCACCTGGGCCTTTGGGGCTCTCTGGAGACCCCTGCATGTCTTGGGACCTAGGTCAAAGCCAGCCCTACAGTTCTTCATTTCTGAATAGTCCATGTTTACTGTTCTCATTTATATTATGAGGACAGAAATAAGGATTGAACTAGGAACAAAACACACATAGTAACAAATAATGAATCATAGAAGAAAACAAGAGTACCTGGACCATTTTAGCCCTCCAAAAGAAATCAACTGAAAAGACCTTGGCACAGCCTTCCTCCAACACCCACCCCTATGCTCCTGGCCAGGGTGAAAACTATGTGTAGAACAACCCGCAGGAGTACAGGGCATGGGAAGGAGGAGGGGAGGGAGCTGGGTGGCAGAGCTCCTTTTTCCAGATCAATCAAGGGGCCCACTTGAACTCTGCCATCTTGTTTCTGATGTGTACCAGATGTGCTAAAACATAGTGCTGGCATAAGCCCCAAGTGTGGGGGAAATTGATAACCCCTTTCCCCATAGAGTCCAGGGCCTCTCCCTGGGTATTACAAACTGGCACATAGAGCTCAAGATTCCTCCTTTTGGGAGTTGATAAATCCATAAGGTAGTTAAAACAATGAGCTCCACCTCCTTGGCACTGTGCTAGCTGGCTTTGAAGTTTTAGGATACTTCCTTCTCTTGTAAATAGGTGCATTGAACTTGAACTTCAGCTTGTGAATTCTCCTAATGATGGTGCCCATTTAGGGAGAAGTTCCCGAAGTGTCTCTTTAAATTTCTTATAGTTGGGGAACCCTTCACCTGGGTTCTAAAGCCCACCTGGGATTTGCTTTGCCATGGCCAGGTGCTGCTCTATTTTCATTGAGGCTTTGGAAGACATTGGGCAGAAGTGACTTGCTCGTTACCTGTCAATGATGAAGTAAAAGACATTGTTGATACCATCTCTACCTACCCTAGCTCTATTCTCTTGGTTTCTGTGCTAAATCATTTTTCCTCTGTGGTGCTTTAAAAAATGTAGCACATTTTTGTTGGGCTCAAAAAGAGTGCATAGCGTGGGTCTGTTGGCAACTGAAATGGTTTCCAACCCACAGAGTTGATAAGCTTCCTTCTGTCTAAACAGCCCTCCAAGGCAGATACTGAGACACATTCCTTGAATGCAGCCCTGCCTTTAGGCCTCAGATAACTTTTAGAGGCTGTTCTAGTGTTGGGGACTTTCCCGGGAGGGTGTTTTTACTCAAGCTTATGTTCTTATCCCAGTGAGGATGCCAGCGTGGATAACTCAAGCCTGTGACTCCCCTACCTCACCATCCCATTAGAGGCTGATGGAGATAATGTTTATGAAGTGCTTGAAGTGCCATGGAACCAGTGAAGCTTGCCTTTACCAAGATTCTTCTAGAAATAAGCAGTAGTTATAAGATACTAGTTTTAACTGAGGGCTTCAAATGCCTCTGATGTTGAGTGTCAACCTGAAGAGTCAGTCTCTTTCCATTTGACCCTTTGTGGGCCTTTCTCTTTCCCTAGAGGTTCCTGACACCAGAAATGCTGAACAGGTGGCATTCCTCCTTCTTTCCCTCCATTGACCTTCTTCTTCTGTCTCTTTCTGCTTTCTTTTCTTCATGTCTTCCCTCTTCCCTTTTATTTCCTTCCATTTTTCTTTTTATTCTTTTTCTTCATTAGTGTTCTAGTATTGCACTCTGGCCTTTCCTCATGAAGGAATTTGGGGATCAGAAGTCCCCTACTTTTTTCATGATGGAGATTGGGATCAATCTCATCCAGATATGTTGGAGATCCAGAGCTAGAAGCTCCAGGGCCAGTTCAGCATCTCCCAGCATTTTGTTAAGCTACTGCTTGATTGTGACTTGGGATACATGAAAACAGACTTACCCCAGTGTGACTCCTCTCCAGGTTGCAGAATGTCAGGCATAGGCTCCCCTGACTAGAGCCACAGAGTGGATGTCAAGGAATGCCCACTCCTTTTGGCATCTGTTGAGGTTTTTCTGTTGAGTTGCCTGGCAGCTAGAGGCTAGGGATGTGTGGGTAAGAGCAGGAAACTGACTCCCAAGGCCTGTAGAAAGTGACATGTAGCCCCCATGGGCTGAAGACTTGATGCAGGGTGAGTGAGAAGCAGCTCCTTGGATGTAGCCAATGGGCTCTGGGTCAGGTGCTTCACAGAGCTCTTCCAGGTGACTTGTGCCAAGGCCTCTGCAATGGTTTTCATAGCATAGTGTTTAGTACATATAATGGGCATAATTCCTCAAGGTGCACACTTGGCTTTTACGAATGCCCTGTACATATCTTTTCAAACTCTGTCTTTGTATAGACATTGATTTGATACAATGCTAACACTTCAGTAGCCACATTTTGTTTGTTTGAGATGTGTGAGTGTGTATGTGTGTGTATACATGTGGGCATGTTGTCTTTTCTCATTGCTTCTATGAAATGATAGCTGGTGTGTGGTTGTTTGTCCCGGGAGAGATCTGCTTTGAAGGGAAGACTGTCTTCGTGTTATGGGGCCTGCGTTCTGTGAGACTCCTTCCCACTCACATGCCTTTTGGCATGGTGCCCCCTGCCTCAGCTCCTGTTCTGGCAAATCTGAGCACTGTGTGTGTGTGTGCATGTGCGTGTGCGTGTGTGTGTGTGTGTGTGTGTGTGTGTGCGTGCACATGTGTGTAGATGTGTGACTGTTGACTTTGGGAATGGTGAGAGTAGTTACTTAGATATTTTTCACTAAAAATGAAAAAGGCTTTAAAAATTCCTTAAAATATTACTGTCACTTGTTTTCAACCAAAACCTTTTTAATACTTTTAAAACAAGAATGGCAACCTAGTCAGTCCCCTCCCAGACTGCCTATCACTTTGGGTTTTAAAAATGAAGCACAAGAGAAAGACTGGGGCGCACAGGTGCCTGGCATGTGCATACCCTGCACAGCTGTGTTGTGCCCTCACTGAGAGAGTTGTGATCCTGAGCAGTTGGACCCAGGAAACTGAGGCCTCCGCTGCTACTTGCCAATCCCACTGCCATTGGTGTGAATTCATTAGGGTGCTCCAGCAAACAAGCATCTGCCCAATTGTTTGGACATCGTCTTTTTGGTAGTTCAAACATTAGGGCCTAGGGACAAGCAGTGAATTCTGTTTTAGCAGTTAGTGCCAGATGCTTCCCCTCTCCCAATGGATGATAACTCTCCAGATACCAGACTTGATGGATCTTTTGACAACCAAATGCATCCCATGAGAAAACCAAGAAAAAAAATCCAACATTGTCACTAGATTGTCTTTTAATTCAAGTGAGAGCAAGATTGCAGAGAGAGAGGCTGACTTGCCATGACTGTGTCTTTTCGAAACAGTGGGTATGCTCTGACTGTGTGTCTGCTGGGCACACAGCAGACACATAGTCTCAGCTTGTCAAATGCTGAAGTTCCATTCCCAGGCATCACCTATTCTGAAACAGTCACATCTTCCCCATTGAAGTCTAATACTAATCAGTATAATTAGCTAATTTTAGATTGCTACAATCAGACTGCTTCCAACTACAGTAAAAGCCCATTAATTTGAGGCCACTAATTCAGGACTTAGAGGAAATCCAAATTTGAGATAATTCACAGTAACTGCTGTTCTTGCTACATAAAAGTATTTGAAAGTCTCCCTTTCAGTCAGTCTTCAGGGACTTCTGTATAAAAGGAATTAGTTTTAAAATGGGTACACTTTTCAAAGGAAAAGCTCGAGGTACCAAGGATCCCGTCATTGTGCCTTCAGCTTGGAGTTTAGCAGTTCTTGTGTTTGTAAGGCTCTTTCTGTCAGGGTTATCCCTTGTTCTCTCTCCATTGTGGGGATGCTAGTTATTGCAGCCTTTTGCTCCATGTCGTGTTTATCCTGTGAATAACATAGTCTGTGATCTTGACTGCAATTTAAACACAAGTAGGTGTCTTTCTAAGAGTTCTGTAAAGCAGATGTTGCACTAGCAGACTGCCTGCTCTCATTCACTCCCAAGTCTTGGAGCTTCTCCTTTCCCAGGCCGTGGGAGGTGAATCTCTCTCTAGCAAGAATTTCTCTGACAAAGATCTCCAAATAGCACAGCCCCTCAGCTCAATGCCTCAACAGTTGTTTCATTGTACTGCTATCTGACCGCTAAACGTGCCTGCCCTTTTCCAGCCCCCAGCAAGCATTAAGACTGATATCTAGAATTGGGACCAACCCTCCAGCTGCTTTTTGCCACCCAACTTGTCTTGCCTCACTGATGCCATTTTCCCACGCCTGAATCCACCTGCTATTTTACTCTGTCATTATGAATTTGTGACAGTGGCAATCCTAATATGTGTAACTGAGCTTATAGAAATGATTGCTGTGAAATGGATTAATTTTGGTACCATTTGAAACTGTACTTGTATTCATGTGTTGACTGATGTCAGCTGGGGCATCTGTATAGTCAGTCATATGTTGGGATTTCAAATGGAGCCTGGGGGCAATAAACCAACTTGCTTCTGACCTTTCTCATGCATGCTCTCTGGCTCTCTTTTTATAATTGTTGAGTTTAGCTGTTAACTTTTGTCTCTTTCTGTAAAAGAAAATGAGCAAAAATAAAGATCAAATGGCATCCACTTATACCTTGTCCTGGTCCATTATAGATCCTAGATGACTCCCCAAATTCTGCAGAGTATGGAAGTCTGGTGGTCAAACTTGTGGAACCAAAGGTCAGATCGTATAGATAAGGAACCAGCTCAAACCAGTTTAGGAGCCAGTTGGAAGCAGAGATAGTCAGGAACCTAAAGTTTGTGTTCACAGTGTGTAATATGATCTTTTCTCCCATCCCCCTGTGGGAAGAGGTTAGTAAGATCTGTCACAGATCTTGTTTTGCAGCTCCTAGTCACCTGATCCCTGGTTAAGTGAATGCTGGGCTAAGGCTTTGAAGCTCTAGGTACTCCCTCTCCCCCCCCCAAAAAAAAGAGATAAGTACCTTAAGGCTACAGGTTAACACCTACAAAGAAGCTAATGCACCAAAAGGACATTTCT